GTGAGGCCCGGCCCGGGGCGAGGGCGAGGGCGAGGGCGGGGAGCTGCCTTCCTTCCTTCCTTTCCTTCGCCCCCCCACCCCCACCCCACCCTCCGGGAGAGTTTGCTGGCTCGGGGCTCCCGGGCGGCGGCCTCGGCCCTTTCCTTTCCTCCCCGGAGGAACCGGCCTGGCGCGCAGGGAGAGGAGGTCGAGGGTTTCTCTGAAGGACTCCTTGCGGAAGGGGCCCCGCGAGGAGGAGGATGATGATGATGGATAATGGTGACGGGGATGGGGGGGTTTATTTTGCCGGCCGAAGGGGCCTCGCAAGGGCCCTTTCCAAGGGCAGCCCCGTCCCAGCCGGCTTAAGGGGTCCCCGGAGGAACCGGCCTGGCGCGCAGGGAGAGGAGGTCGAGGGTTTCTCTGAAGGACTCCTTGCGGAAGGGGCCCCGCGAGGAGGAGGATGATGATGATGGATAATGGTGACGGGGATGGGGGGGTTTATTTTGCCGGCCGAAGGGGCCTCGCAAGGGCCCTTTCCAAGGGCAGCCCCGTCCCAGCCGGCTTAAGGGGCCTGATCCTGCTCTGTTCCTTTCTTTCGGTCCTTTCTTTCAGGGCTGGACGTGATTTCTCCTTCCGCCTCCTGCAGGAGGACACACACAGACACAGACACACCCGTTGTACTGGTTGCCCTGCCTGAAGGGTTCAGGCCTCTGCCCGGCTGGGTAGCCCTGCCTGACAAGCCAGGACTGGCCGCCTGGAATGGGCTTGGCCGGCTGGGTGGCTTCGACTGACAGAGTCTAGGATGCTGTGGCCCATGGGCGGCTTGGTGCCTGATGTGCAGAAGGCGCAGCAGAGAGGGTTTTGTTCTGTTGTGGATGCTCCTTAAGCGTTCGCTCCCCCTGAGTTCGGAGGGTTACAGAAAGGTGGGGTGGGTCGTGTCTGAAAGATTGACCCGCCTGATGACTTGGCTGCCTTCCTCCTGCTGAGCCCACCCCCCACCCACCCACTCCCCCGGCACATAAAGGCAGGTGGTGCTGCCATGGAGCCCGGCTCCTGCACAGCTTGGGTTGCTTTCTTTCGGCAGGAGCTCATCATAGTGAGCAGTCATCCAGGCTGAAGGAGGAGAACTTTTGTTTTACTTTTTTTTTTTTTGCTTGCAGCAGGCAGGCCTTGGGGTTTAGGAATTCCCTTGTTGGAGGAATTGGTCAAGGCTTGTCTCTTTTTCTTCTTAAAAGGCAGGTCACAGCATGTCTGTATCGCCAGACGTCATAGGGGGAAAGTTCAGAGCATTCATCAGGGCTTGCATTGCATTGCAGTCTATTCCTGTGTCATTATAAGGTTGTGGGCTCAGGCTTGGGCTTACAGTTTCAGAAATATGAGAGAAAGCTTTCAGATGTTACATTATATATACTGTACTTGGCTACATGCATATACATATTACAGCCATTTAAGATGCCCACTTTTGTGTTTATGGGAGAATTCTTGTACATGCGATAGATGGATATCATAACAAAAAGTGATTTTTTGATATCCTGAACAGCTAAATAAGAGAGTGCATACTGAGTGTGTTGTGTTGTAATAGTTGCTTTTAAGTATGGTTTTAATAATTTAGGTTGGTCATGAATGGGACAGCCAGTTATCGTGCTGGTGTATTTTGCTACCGTCTTCATTTCTAGGCTAATTTGAACATTTCTCCTCTCTCCCCTTTGGGCCCCCAGGGTTGCATCCTTCTAGATTCCGAATTGGCGACCAAGAGTTTGACTCCTTGCCGGCCCTGCTGGAGTTTTACAAAATCCACTACTTGGACACTACAACCTTGATAGAACCTGTTTCAAAATCAAAGCATGACAGTGATGTGCAGCTGAGGCAGGAAGAGGTGGAATACGTACGTGCTCTTTTTGACTTTAATGGCAACGACGACGAAGACCTTCCTTTTAAAAAAGGAGACATCCTTAGGATCTGGGAAAAGCCAGAAGAGCAGTGGTGGAATGCAGAAGACAGCGAAGGCAAGCGAGGGATGATCCCAGTGCCCTACGTCGAGAAATACAGACCTGCTTCTGCATCTCTGTCAGCTACGACTGGAGGTAACCAGGACAGCGCTCTCCCTCAGCCTCTGGGCGGGCCGGAGCCCGGTCCCTACGCCCAGCCCAGCATCAACACTCCGCTCCCCAATCTCCAGAATGGCCCGATTTTTGCCCGGGTTATCCAGAAACGAGTCCCTAATGCCTACGACAAGACAGCCTTGGCTTTGGAGGTACATAAAGGGCACAATGTGTCACAAAACAGATGGGTTTCAATAATTTCTGTTTAAAATTCTTGCATCCCAAGCTTCTTTGCCCCTCTAAGCGGAAAGCCTAGCAACCCTTATGTGGCACCTCTTAGTCAGCTTTTCACTTTTCACCCGACCCCAGAGGTCTGCAGATCTGCTCTCTGTGCAGTCTCGGGACGAGGTCCTCTGGGCTTCCACAGAATATCAGAAATGGGCTGGTTTTGTCTGTCACTCAGACACCGTTGGGGTCCTGCCACCCTGTGTAACAGATTTTCAGGTTCCTTTGGCATTCTAGAGAGGAAGGCATTTTCTTCAGGACAGCAGGCTGTGCCCAGTAAAGGCACCACAGAAACCATTTTAGCCACTCTTGCTGGATCACCTCTTTCTTCTGGCTTGCAATCCTCGTCCCAGAAAATTGTAAGAGAAGGGGGCAAAGAGCAGAGTAGGCCAAGCCTTTGTGCATGGTTCCAGCTGCAGCTTGATGAAGTTTTTTTTTGGGGGGGGACATTTCTGAATGTGCCTCTTATGGCCCAGCTCATTTGCTTGAATTGTCTTCGTGACTTACGTGAAATACTGGGGTAACTCTTTTCCGGTTTCCGTCTCAAAATAAAGAGCTATGTCATGCCTTGGAGTAGACATTTAAGATTCCTTGGGGACTCTTTATTTGTTTTATTATTTTTCTTCCTATAGAGGAGGAGAAGAATTTGTTATAGTCTTGACAAGTTTCCTGAACCTTTTGCCTTATTACGTTCTTTACATGAAACAGGAGAGGATTCCCTTTCTTTAGGGCTATTGTTTTGGTATCTGCCCAGAGGATAGGATCCTTCACTGAGCCCTTCTGTCAATATGTGGGCCTAAAGCTGGTAGCATAGGCGGCCTCATTCCCTAGAGAAGCAGGAGGAAGATGCTTCGGGCTTGCCGTACAAGGAAAATCTCATTTGCCTGCCAGACGAAGCCATCCTGTCTGGCCTGCTTTAGCCTCGGGTGGCTTGGCTTTCCATTCTGTTGGTCTTTGGGGGCAGAATATTCCTTGGCAGGATGTGTTCTGTGTCAGGAACTTGCCAGTTTATTGAAGGGAATGAAAGAAGCAGGTTTGCAGGCCAAGTGTTCTTTGGTGAATTGCATGTCCAAGAAGGGCTTCTCCTCCAGGTTTGGAGCAGCACCTGAGCATGAGCGCAGCGTGGAGGTCCCCCCTTTCCTCCTGCCCCCAACAGAAGTGGGGGAGACTGTGGAGTAGCCCTGCTCGGTCAGGCCCTGACCTTTGCCCCCGGGTGGTTTTTCCTTCCCTTCTCACCACATTCTGGCAAGGCTTCCCTTTGCCATTGGACATTCCCCGTGGCTGATCCTTCCTTCCGGGGGTGGCCACACCAGAAGGGGAGCAAGGATTCCCTCCCCCCCCCGCTTTTTCGACTTGGGTGGAAGAAGGTGTTTGAGCTGCCCTGACCCACAGCACCCTCTTCATCCGAGGAACTTCCCAGTGATGCACATGCTTTGTCTTCTCTTTTGGGCCACAGGTTGGTGAGCTGGTGAAGGTGACCAAGATTAACATGAGCGGCCAGTGGGAAGGGGAGTGCGGTGGCCGGCGGGGACACTTCCCCTTCACGCACGTCCGGCTGCTTGACCAACAAAATCCAGAGGAAGACTTCAGCTGAGTGCAGCTCAACTCCTCCGCTCACAGAGGGAGTCAGGCACGTGGCGTTCTCCTGCAGCTGCAAGAGAGAGGCCCAAGACTGTTCCCAAAGAGGTCAAGAGCAGTGTTGTCTCCACAAGCATCCCAGTATTGACCCCCAAGCCCTGAGACCCCACACTCAGGAGAGGGTCGCGCTTTCAGAGTACGACCCGCCGCGGCTTTTGTGCCAGGTGGTGAGCCTTGCACACCAGTCCGCCTGTGTCGAATAAAAGCTTCACAGCTCCCCTGCTCCCACCTCTGCCTTCAACCCCTGTAGGGTCAACAGGCCGCCGTGGGCTCTGCAGGACTTCCTCTGCCGAAGGTGACCCTGATCCTGAACCACCGGACTTTCTACAGGGGCCCTTATTCTGCTTCCAGATTGACTTCTCTTGTCTCTTAGGGCCGTCGCTGCCGGCTGCATAAGGAGTAAGCGGTGTTCAGGGCAGAGAGGTGTACGTGAGTGCGCATGTGCGTGTGTGGCTTCTCCTTTTAAGATGGTGTTTTCATACTGGGATGGCTGCGGCAGAACAAATGCCATTTGAATGGTTCGGGGCCAAATCAAGTCCCTTTCCAGCATTCCCAACCACAAATGTTCCAGAAACCAGTCTCCAGGACAGGCAAAGCCACTTCCTGACTTAATGCTGACGCTAGATATGAATACCTGTAAGGACAGGTAGATGCCAAGTCCCTCTCCTGGAGCACTGAGCTATGGTGTTGTCCTCTGTTTCTTAACAGGGTCAGGCTTTGGGTTGCTCAGTCCATGCAGGTTGGCGCACTTCACTCCACAGTCATGGCGACCCTGCTTTAATCGGTTAGAGGAAGGCTAAAACCACCCAAATACCTCCCCAGGTCTTCTTGCGCAGTCGCTATGGCAAAAAAGGCATCACCATCATAAACCAAAATGCCGGATAGGCTTCCTGTACTACCCTTGAAATTGCCACAGGGGAATGGTTTGTTTCCAACTGTAAAGCATTCCAGTGGTGAATTCATGAAAATTTTTATTTTTAATAAACTAATGGGAACACTTTAATGCTTCTGAACCGATTCTAAGACATTTATGGTTCACCAAAAACCAAATGTTTTTCCTAAGTTCTATTGCTCCGAACTTCCAGCGTTCACCTGTCTTGCACGAATGCTTCCCAGGCCGCCTGCCGCCCTTCCCCTTCCTTACGCTGAACCTCTGGAAAGGGATACTCGCCCAGGGACAGCAGGTGTTCTCTTTTTCCCTTTTGGGGAGAAAAGGTGCACATAAATCAACCTCTCCTTGTTAGTGCAAATGGATTTATGGATGTGGATGAGGAGTGTGTGTCAGCAGGGCCTTTCACTCTGAGTAATAAAGTTAGAAAGTGCTTCCTGGAAGACGGCATAAAACGGAGTTTCACTTGGTCCCTGTTCTCACCGCTCGCGGTGGCCGGGCTCCTTTCCACAGCTGGGGCTGTCATGACAGGGCTGTCTGTGGAACAGGCCGGGTGGTGTTTGCACAACAAGACTGCAGCGGTCGGCCAATGCCTTCTCTTCTGTTCAAGTGCCCTTGATTTACTATAGAAACAACTGAACCAAACAGGTCTCTTGGGGTTCCACGCGGTGCGTGACGCAGCCTTTCCTGAGTCCCTGGATGGTTTTGGACTGCAATTCCCAGCAGCTCTGGTAGTGCCATGATCAGGGACTAGCCTTATTATCGGAGGATGCCAGGAAGGGCAAGCGACTTTCAGAGTTGTGTGGGTCTCCACTGCAGCTGCATCTGTCGGTTGCTAAGGTGGTGCAATTGATCTTTTAACCTGCAAAACTGTGTTGGTGCTGAATGCTTCTCAGCACCTGGGGTCCAGAGGCTTCCCCCACATGTGACCACTGCCTCTGTGAGCTTCATCTGGGTTGCGCTCTGAAGTTCTGCTTTTCTTTCTTTTCTTTTTTTAAGCTCCCCTAGCTCTAATAGTGAAGTCAGGCTGCATACATTACATGTTTACAGCCCGATCATCTGGCTTTTCCTCACTCCTCTAAAGCAAGATAACAAGATTGTACAGCATTAAACAGTTTCTTAACTTCAAATGCTCTCGAAACTTACTGAATCTTTCTGTGCCCAGGTTAAGAAGTAATTCTGTCACCTTACATACCATTAACATCCTGTGTCATGGAAACTGCATTTAAAATTAAAAATGCCAGAAGCAAACCCCATGTGTTTAGCATTTAGGATATTAAGGTACATGTTGTAGCCTCTTGGCGTTTAGAAGCCCTTGGGTGGGCAGAATCCGAAAGCAATTTTTCCTCTTAGCTAGACTAGAACAGTTCCTGTGGACAATGTTGCAACAGTGTCAGAGATGGGAATGAAAGGGGAGGAAAACCGTTTTTGGATGTCCATAAAAGCCACTACGTTTTCCCCTCGTTTTCTTCTTCTCACAGTGTGGCAACCCTGTGGCCCTCTCGTGGTTTGTTGAAGACCAACTCCTTTCAGCCCCAGACTTCCTAGACGGAGGCCACGGCTTGGACACCCCCAGGAGGGCCACAGGCTGCTCTCGCTCTGGCTTTAGAAGATGGGGGGGGGCACCAGCTGTTGAGGCCTCTGCTTCTCTTTCCCTCCAACGTGGGGGGTGGTGGGGGTGGTCCTGCTTGCTTGCTGGGCCGAACGCAGAAGGCCATCCGTGGGTCAGTCTGTGTTGAGTCATTTATGTGCCTCAGCCGTGGACTAAAATAACTCTCCAGGTCCCGGAGCATCCTTGGATGATCTGGTTTTATTTCTCAGTGCTTTTCCGCATAATCCTATGCAACTTGGTTTGAGGGGGCTGTTCTGTTTCCTAGCATTCATGTCAGGCTCAGCCTTTCATATTAAAATCTGGTGTGGTGAAACCTTGTTAATCTGTTGGAATTCTTAATACTGCAAGTATTTTAATCATGTTTAATAACATGCCATTTTTGAGAACAAACCTGAAGCGAAAACATGTAGAATGTGCCAATGTATTATATAACACTACACACTTTTTTTGACAGTTATATTTTTCTTTTATAGCATGTAACGGACATGTTCCTAATAAATGAATTAAATAAAATCTGCAGAACTGGTATGTGGTCCTCTTTGACTGGAAGTAGATCTTGAAGTATGGCTAAGGGACTTGGCAGGGGCTCCCACATGCTTCAAAGGGTTATCTATCTGGTGAGCACGTAGGATACGAATGCTCATAAATAAATACAACGATGTGTCCCCCAAAGGGGAGACAACGAGACACAGAGCTCATTACGAAAGATCTGGGTCATCTGGCCACTGCTCCTGTTCCAGAATTGGAAAGCCACCCTTAAACATCTCTCCCGCTCCCAAGGTACGTATGCAAGATGCTTAAGGCCTACCCGTATCAGTACCACCAACCCCAAGAGGTTTTTTGTACAGTATTTGAACCCAGGTCTCCTGGTCTGGCACGCTGCCCGCTATGCCAGGCGGGTGAAGAACTGTCCTTAGGTGGTGAGCCACGGACTGCAGCTGTCCTCCTCAAATTATGCTCTCCCCCCCCCTCTCTCTTTTCGCCCCCTTCCAGTCCCTGCTCTCCACCAACAACAGTGCGTGCTTTGGCTCCGCAGGGGAGGAGGGAGGGACTGAGGGGTTGTTGGACACACACACACCAGCTCCCACCCGACTTGCCACTTCGGGGGGGGGGGGGGAGCGGAGGAGCTCCCTCCCCAGCCTGGTGCCCCACAGAGGAGCCTGTGGCTATTCTGGCTGGGGATGATGGGAAAAGCAGTCCTGATCCTGGGCAGGCCGACGGGCGTTTCCTTCGGGAATGAAGAGAAGGGGCAGGGCCACGGGCCCTCTGCTCATGCTTGGGCGCCCTCTTCTTTGTTTCCAGGCGGTCTGATGCTGCGCAGGGGCCGCGGCAGGGACTCGAACCCGCGGTCCTGTCCGCGAAAGGCTCTTCCAGCTGCCGTCAGGAGGGTTGCTAAGGAGCTGCTGTTGCTAGGGGGCGAATCTGACACAGGCGGCGGAAGCGGCGCATGCGCGCTCGCGCCCCCCAAGTGCCCGGATGTAGCGGGAGGAGGCGCTGCCGCCATCTTTGCCCGGAGAGCAGCGAGAGAGATCCGATCGTGACTGAGCCCCCCCCGCCGGACCATCGGTCTCCATCCGCCCCGCGCAGCCCCCGCCGCCCTCGCCCCGCCGACCT